AGGAATCCTTAGTATATCTCGTAAGAGTGGAACTAGGTTGGAGGGTTCCATATCCACCATTTCGAAGGCTTCTTTTTTTCGCAAAATTTCCGCGCCAACTTGAGAGCAGGCAGCCTTTATTAACAAATAGTAGACTGCCCACTTCAGGTTTCGAAAAAACTCTATGGGGACTGTGGGCTCCAACCTCCTCAAGTCCACAAAGAGCAACGAAGCCCTTTTTAATTTCTCCAGGAAACCTCTTCGGTTGGCCTTCTCAGACTCATAAACGTAATCGAGACCTATCAGTGCACTTTCACCCATACTATTCACCAGTTCCAAGTAACTTTGTACGAATTTTGTCTTTCCACTTCCGAAGAGGTGAGGACCAAAGGGTATGACTGGTTTGAAATGGCGACCAAGTTTACGGAGAGTGTATAGCTGAAATAACTGCAGTGTCACTACACGAACATCATTTTCTCGGTGTACTACAACCATGTCATATACGGTTTCTGGTTCAAGCTCACTAGACATATCGCAAGCTATGAAGTAAACTATGCGACAGTAAAATACAACAATGGTCAATCAATCTTCTTTAATAGTTTCCAATGCTCAAACTCTTGATTGCGACGAAAGTCTTTTGAAGCTTAGGACAAGTCTTGATAAGAACATGAATTGCCTTTTAGATAAAAACTATCTTTCTCATTTTTTTTGTAATAAAGAGTGGATATTGGTTTGTGTGCAATTGTATATAAAAACAACTTCTCTGAGCTATTAGAAAATAGACCAGCTGAGGAACTTTCAACTTAAGGCGAACTATAAATAAAGTATTTGACGAATACAAGACCTTGTATAAAACCCATTTATCAACACTTTGGGACACTCTCCTGAGAAGTAACAAGAAGCAAACAAGACCTGTCAAACTGTGACAGTGACTTTTGCAACAATAGGCTTATTTTGATTTTCGTGGTTAGTACTATATTAAGACAATAGTCCTCAGAGTAAAAGCAAATAAGTTGTAACCGAGTTTCAAACATACAAAAAAGTTTACTTGCTCTTCAAAACAAAGTGAAGGACTGCGTTAGAATCTATTGCCAACTTAAGAAACTGTTACGGATTCTATCAAGTAAATCTAATCCAAAATCCCAAAAAGTAGGATTATGAGAAACATGAAATGCTCTTTCAAGTCCATTCAATATTTCGTCGTCAATCAGCATTTGGACATCTCTTTCACAAAGAATAACAAGTTCACAGTTATCAGGTACTTTGAAAGAATCATTTCCAATAAACATTCCACTGGAGTAACAACGACTCTGATTACCCAACTCATTAGAAACATTCAATGATAACTTTGTACTAACAATAATAAGCATACAATGATGATAATCCATTGCACTGGATAAGACTTGATCATAAACAGGATCTAAAAATTTCTTGGCTTCATCTATAATATCTGACCAGCCAATTCCTTCCGACTTCCAACGTCCTTTACAAGCAACTCCAACAGTAAGAACTTTGGGTTCCACAGGAGATTGTAATTGGAATATAATATCAGGACTATGAGAAGTAGCGTCCAAAGGAATGTAAATAGTCTCTAAATAAAGTGTCTCTCGAATAATCTTATTCCATTCAGTATTGGCAAAAGTTCTTCGACTCTTGTTCGATTCACTTCTTGTTTCTCTAGAACTAACAACAGACTTGATATAGTGAATAGGTGATATTGTACTGATTGGAAGTTTCATTTGTTTCCATATCGGAGACAATTGACATAACAAATCCCTCAACTCATTTCGATTCTTTGAAGACAACATCAAAACTAGTCGTAAAGCAACAATTCCTTCAAATACACGACACTTTGAATAGAAGAAACAATCTACTGGTTCGACATCGAGTGATCCAAGAAGTATCTTTTCCAAAGAAGATATGGAAGGGTCGTTCTTGAAGATTACAACAAATACTTTCGGAATTAGGACTTGAAAAGTATTTTCGTCAATAGGATATCGATATAATCCCATTTCAGTGACTGCATCATATAAAAAGGACTCCGAGGTCAATCTATCATCTACTTTAGACGGTATACGATAAAGAGCCATCATCAAAAGTAAATCAAAAACACTTCTTCTATCTTCGTCCAAATTCAATATTCGTTCCACAAATGGTTCAGCACAAATTCTTCGGAAATCGTAGTCATTCATACACGTCAAACATTCTTCTTTCGATATGAAAGGCTTATTTCTCATTACCACATAATTCAAAAGCATATTCACTAAACGCGTCAACAAACCAGGAACTCCACCTGTACATTCCAATAACGAATCTGCCAATTCATTTACTGAAAATGAAGAACTACATAAGACATTACAAACTGGAACTTGAGTAGGTGTTTCAAGAAGACTTTTTTGAAGGAACTCAACGATACTGGAAGCGTCCAAAGGTGATAAAGAAATAAAATGTAGTATAACTCTTGATAGCCCAAAAGCCACATCATTGTTAATACTTAAACCCTTGCTTTTCCCAACAACAATAAAAAACAAGTCGGGTTCTTTGCACAATTGACTAATGATACCGAAAAAGTCATTGTACGGTCGAACCACACCTTTGTCATTCTTCTCCAGTTCAAAAAAAGTTGCCTTTGTATCAAACACACCAACTTCGTCAATTGCCAACAAAAGATATTGATCGGAAGGAATGCCCAAAGTCTTCCGTAGCTCTGCAATTAGAAAGCTTGGATAGGGAGGAATGTGTCTGTAGGCTTCATCAGGCTTCATAAACGGTAGACCCATCTGATTACAAGCTGATCGGTACAATAAATAGTAGACTGCCCACTTCAGGTTTCGAAAAAACTCTATGGGGACTGTGGGCTCCAACTCCTTCAAATCCACATAAAGCAATGAAGCCTTCTTCAAATTCTCCAAAAAGGCTCTCCTCGAAGGGTCCGAAGCAAATTTCGACAGAAAAGTTTCACCAAACCTTTGCACCAACTCCAAATAGGTTCGGGCAAAGGTCGTTTTGCCCGAGCCAAAGAGATGGGGGGCAAATGGTATGGTCAAGCGATAGTTGCAACTACTTGTTACACCCCTGAGTTGTTCTCTGTTGCTATGAAGATCATACAGTTCTTTTGTCACTCGAACAACATCTCTTTCACGATCTACCACAATAGACTTAAAGTTGTCCACAGCTTCCCACTTTTCATCCAAACTCGCCATCGCCAAAGAGAAATTAAACAATCTTTTGTTTATTTCGGAGTACAAATATAAATAAACGATTGACTGTTTGTCGGTCACAACAACAACAAGGAAAACAGTAAAGGATACCAATCCAACTTCTTCTCTTTATCAACTGATGACTATGTCATACCCTTTATGGCTTGGACTGAGATGACTTGAACTATGGAAGAACGATCAATATGGCTTTTTCCGCTATCGATATTCTTATTCTCGTATGCTAATATAATGCCAACTCTCATAGGGTACAAGAAGGATTAGAAGGAAGCCAATGTTTATTTCACAAGTTTTTTATGCTCTTTGAGAGTATAAAGCTATTGAACATGGCCCATTCTCACATAGATAAGAAAGTTTCTTTCAGAATTTTCGAGAATAGTCATGAGAGTTCCGAGCAATATAGATTGTTCATGAAGAATTTGTTCCATAGACGTCTCTCTCTAGATTTTCTGTATTTTATGGAACAGTTTTTACGTCACTTTTGCTTCATTTCGAAACACGGAACTAGAGTATGAACCAAGTCATTCTCTTCTGTAGTGTATTCAAAAGCTCCAGTTGAAATATATTATTTAGTAGAAATGCAGAAACCCGCAAGCACAGCACTGCTTTATTCTCAGCAATCGTCAAATTCCTTTCTTACGATATCATGACAAGTAGCAGCTTATCACTAAAGCTACAAAAGTTGATGATAGCAAAAGACAAACCAAAACAAATGTGCAAAGAAGGATCCAAAATATCTCGTGGTTTTATCAAATCTCAGAAACAACATTGACTCACACAAGTGTATCATCAATACTCAATTTCTGTAAGAGTCAATAACTCCTGTTTCTTTCTCCTCTGAAAATAGTGGCATTTGATACTGTGAATTCTGTTAAGAGGAGAAAAGATATTTTCAAGAAAAATTCAATTCAATCGAATTGAGTCTATTCTAGCGACTCTCTTCTCGTATCTTGTCATTGCATATCATTTGAATCATAGTTGAATTCTTTCTCCTCAATAGTCGACTATACATTTGAGGTGTTTTTGAAGGTAAACATGACTGTTTAGGTTTAAAGGCTTTTGTTGCATCCTCTTGTACGATAAACTTTGTAAAAACCACAACTTTTAAAGATATACAAGAAAGCAAACTATAAAAAGTACAAAGCTGCTTTAGGAACGAGATAACTCCAAGAGGGCTATTATCTCTTCCAATATAAAAAGAGGTAAAACTTTTAAAAGCTCTGCAAAT